AGTATAACCAGAATGCTCCTTAGATGTTGAAAGTTGGCTTCTTAACCTGTGAGCATGTTGTCAGGAGGAGAAAAACAAAAAAAAAAAAAAAATGCATCATGCTGGGAAAGGTGGAAGGTTAAAGAAAGAGAAGACCCTCAATACTGACTGTAAAAAACATATCAGAGCATATCAGAGATGGTGAGGATAATGCAGGATAGGACAAGATTCCTGTCTGTTGTTCCTGAGGTCACTATTAATCGTAGTTAACTTTATCATACTTAACTACACACCTAATCATAGTCAACATTATGATAGGTAAAGAAAGGATTGAAGCTGTCAGTGATTTCATCTTTCTTATGTCAACAGTTAACATCTTTGGTACCAGCAGGCAAGAAGTCAGGATACATCTTACATTGGGCAAGTCTGCTGTCAGGGAACTCTCCAAAATAATGAAGAGTGAGGATTTCGGTTTGAAGACTAAGGTGTTCCTGATTTAGGCCATGGTCTTCTCAATCACATGCTACATATCAGAAAGCTGGAAAATTAATAAGGATGACAGAAGAAGAATTGAGGCCTTTGAGTTGTGGTACTGGAGAAGAGTACTGAACATCCCATGGACTGCCAAAAGAACAAATAGATAGGTCTTTGGAAAAGTGCAGCCAGAGTGCTACTTGAAGCCTAAGATGGCAAAGCTTCATCTCTCATACTTTGGACATGTACAGAGGCGAGGTTATTCCTTGTTAAAGGACATCATGTTTGGGAATATGAAGTGCCAATGAAGGAGAGGAAGATGCTCAATGAGATGGATTGACATGGTGACTTCAGCAATGGGCTCTTCTAGTATTATCAGAAGGGCTTCCTTCTAGAATTGCTTCTACTTTACTTATTAGAGAATAATAGTATTAGGACAATTACTCATTCTATTGTTAGTCTTTGTATTTTCAGTCTTCTGCTCCTTGATTGCAGAGGCTTCCATCACTTTTGTTCCCTGTTTTCCAGAACATGAAGCATTTCTTGGTTCACAGATGGCCCTTGATAGGACAACACTTTTTCAATTGAATGACAACAATTTAATCAACAGGATAGCTAGATGTCTTTTATCAGCACTCCTCTGAGTCAGGTGTGTCAGAGCTAGTGAGGATGGCGCAGGATAGAGCAGAGCTCAGGTCAGCTGTTCATAGGTTTACTATGAGTCTTATTTGACAACACCTAACAACAACAACATAGGAAGAAGTACCACAAGGCAAAAGTAAGTAGTATAGGGTTTGAAGGAAAAAGTTTCAATGGAAAGAGTAAACACGATGATTAAGAGCATCAACAAATACATACATACATACATACATACATACATACATACATACATACATACATACAACATCAACTCAACAAACCCAGCTCACTGCTGTAGAGTTGCAACAGACTCATACTTGATCCTCTAATGAGCTTTCAGAAGCTGTAAATAGCACAGGAGGAGATGCCTGTCTTTCTCGTGAGAAGCTGTTTGTTGGCTTGATCCACCAGAGTACTGTGGCCTTTGTGGTAACAGCCCAACTCCCTATGAACTACACCACTAGAGCTCCCTTAATGAAGAGTACAGGTTCTGGAATCAATGTATTGTGTCAGCTGTGAACAAAAAGTAAGATGAAAACTGAGAGATGCCAATGGATTTGACATCCCGAAGTCTTTGTTAAGGCAATTTTAGTAGAATACAGGGGAGTAGGACTCTTGTAGTAGCACAAGCAATGCGTGAAACGTGAGAGATAGGGGCCATCTCTGCAGCCCATTCTTTTGAAAAGATTGGGTTAGAAAGTAGGAGAGAGGAGGTGGAAATAGTAGCTGATAACAGTTGCTTGAAAGAAATCAGGGCTTAAATACATTTGTGAGTAAAAGAGATATACTTCAAGAATGAGAGGAGTTACTGGGAGGAGAGAGAGATTGGAAATAATTGCTTTGCCAGTGTTCTGGAAAGTTAGGAGGATTGAGAAGATAAGCACATCCTGAGATCCTAAGAGAAGAGTATTCTAAGTAGACAGATTGGTTGTAAGATCTGGGGAATTGGAGGAAGCAAACTCAGTTGTTCATAACTATTCACCGTATTTCTTTTCATAAAATAAAACCTAAGGTCTTATGCCTGAGTGAAGAAGTTGGCATTTCACAATCAAAATTGATATTTGAACACTCTCAGAAGTATTCAGAGGAGTGCTGACAAAAGATATTTGGATACCTTATTATTAAATTGTTGCCATTCGGTTAAAGAAAAGTGTTTTCCTATCAAGGGCCTTCTGTGAAGGAATGCTTCATGTTCTGGAGTGAGAACAGTGAACAAAAGTGATGGAAGCCTCTGTGGTCATGGAGCAGAAGACTGACAATAGAACAATAAGTAAATTAGAAGCAATACTAGACGGAAGCAATAGTATAGAGGAAAGGTGGATAGAGAATGGTCCATAATAAAGGAGCACATTTCATTTTTAAACAGTAGTCTCAGGGAAATGTCTCAAAAGGTGACTGTTATGATTGAATTGTGTGCTCAAAACACCGTCGTACTTGTTGCTAACATGAAGTCATTTGGAGGGTAATTCCTAGTGTAAACTCTGATGTTGAGGACGACAGCAGTGGTGGTGGCTTTCTGGCAGCTCAGGACTGAAGTGCAAGTATTAAAGTCACCATGATTATTCAGAGGCTCTTCAAATTTTCCCTGTCATTTGATCAGCAGTCTCAGCCCATTTGCAGAGGAACATTGGTGGTACAGCAGTGGCATTTAATAAAGAACTTGATCCTATACAGAAACTTTTTTGTGGACAAGATTAGAGAATACAAGTCCAAACAACAGGCATCTGGAGGACCTGTTGATGTTGGCCCAGAATACCAGCAAGATTTGGAGAAGGATCTTTTTAAGCTTAAGCAAATGCATGGTAAGGGTAAAGCAGACATGAATGCCTTCCCTACATTCAAATTTGAAGATCCTAAATTTGAAGCTGTGGAAAAAGCTCAGTCCTGAAGCATTATGTAAAATTATTCATGTAATTTGTTATGGATTGATTGTACAATTAAACAGTAGTATCAAACATATTATTTCACAATTGTCAAAAAGCAGTAGATCCAATTCTCTTATTTGAATATACTGTTCTGAAAGAGTTCTAGAAGACTGTATTTCCTGACTGCAGCTCTGAACTAAAAATTTATTTGCTTGCTTGCCTAGATGTTGAGTTGATCAGGAAATCCTCCAGGTTGTGACACATAACCATCTCTTTGTCAGTAGCATCTAACAAAGTATATAACATGTTGTTGTTAGGTGCCATCTAGTCAAGTACAACCCAGAGCGACATTATGAACAACAGATTTGAAACCTGTTCTTTTTCTGTGCCGTTCTTACACTTCCAACACCCGGAGCCCATTGTGACAGTAACAGTGTCAATCCACCTGAATGATGGTCTCCCTCTCTTTTGTTGACTCTCCGCCTTGCCAAGTATGATGGTCCTCTCCGAAGAACAGCCCCTTGTAGCAACATGCTCACAGTATATGAGATGAAGCTTCACCATCTTTGCTTCCCAGAAGCACTCTGACTGCACTTTCTCCAAGACATATTTCTTTGTTCTTTTGGCAGTTCTTGGGGTATTCAAGACTCCTCTCACACCACATCCCAAAGGCATGAATTTTTCTGTTATCCTTATTCTCAGATGCATAGCAAGTGATAGAAAAACCATCACCTGAATCAGATGCACCTTAGTCTGCAAACTGTGTATAGCATGTTGTTGTTTGTTGCTATGTGCCGTCCAGTCACTTGCGACTCATAGCAACCCTATGTACAACAGCCCTAAATTCTGCTCTGTCCTGTGCCCATCTCATTGTCTCCAACACACCCACCCTGATTACTCCAGTCGCTGAATCAGTCCACCTCATAGAGGGCCTTCCCCTCCTGCGCTGTCCCTCCACCCTCCCAAGCATGATGTCCCTCTCCAAGGACTGATCCCTCCTTGCAACATGTCCAGAGTATGTCAGACGAAGCCTCAGAATCCTTGTCTCCAAGGAGCAGCCTGGTTTAACCCTCTCTAGGATGAAACTGTTTTCTTAGCAGTCTGTGGTATCCTCAACACTCTTCTCCAACACCAGAGCTCAAAGGCATAAATTCTCCTTCTACCCTTCCTAGTCATTGTCCAACTCTCTGACACATAACAACTGATTGCAAAGACCATGGCTTGTTACCAGATGCACCTTAGTCTCTAGAGTGATACCATTGCTCTTCGGCACTTTGGAGAGGTCGCTAACAGCATACTTTCCCATGGAAATACGTCATTTAATTTCCTGGCTGCTGGTGCCAAGAGTGTTGACTGTAGAGCCAAGCAAACTAAAGCTGTGAACAATCTCAGTCTCTTCACCATCCATCCTGATGCTACCAGTTGGTCCAGTGGTGAGAATCTTTGTTTTCTTGATATTGAGCCTCAATCCATATTGAAGGCTGTAGTCCTTGACCCTCTGCAGAAAGTGCTTCAGGTCCTCCTCACTTTCAGCAAATAGGTTTGTGTCATCTGCATAATGTAGATTGTTAATAGATCTTCCACCAATCCTGACGCCACATTTCTCCTCATAGAGCCCAGCCTCCCAGATAATCTGCTCTGCATACAGGTTGAAAAGGTATGGAGACACATCCCTGGCATACACCGTTCCCAATTTTGAACCATGCAGTGTTTCCTCGCTCTATTCTGATGACTGCCTCCTGGTCCAAGTATAGGTTTTGTATTCGCACAATCAAGTGTATAGCATGTAGCCGTTAATAAATGTTTACTGAATATATGATCTGATAACAAATAGAAAGACAATTAAACTGACTAGCCCATTGGCTATACTTCTAAGTATTAGAAACTGAGCCTCTAAGAATTTTTTTTACCTAAACTATTTACCAAAGATGATAAAGTATGTAATAGCAAGTGGTTATAATTCTTTGTTTCTGTATTTATCTCTGTTTGAAAGGGTTAAATTTTGAAATTTATCTTTTAACTAAATTTCATATATTTAAACAGAGGTGGGCTAGCAGAAAGATTAAGTGAACTACAGAATCGAGAGAGATCTGCCATTTCCTTTTGGAGACACCAATGTGCTGCTTATCAAAAGACACTTAAAGGTAAGGCTTCTGTAAATATAGGCTGTGGATAAAGAATATGTCATACATTAAGTATTTTTATTTTAAAATGTGAAGTTTATCTTCAGTATTTTCGAGGAATTCTGGTGGCCTAGTGTTAACAACGGCAAGCAGATTGAATCCTCCAGCTACTTTGAGGGAGAAAGATGGGCAGTCTTCTTCCATGCAATTAATTGCCTCTAAAAACCTGCTGGAGGTTCAGCAGTGAGTTTGTTCTAACTTGGCAATACATGAAAACACAACAAGGCTCATACTAAGAAATTGTTTTAAAAGTTGTGTTAGTTCTCACGGTGTTATTAATGATCCCCTTACCCCACTCACAGAGAAGTACTTGACACAGTACTTCCAGCAGTGAGCTCAAGCATGTCAGAGATGATGCGGATGACAGCATAAGATAGGACAGGGTTCAGTCTGTTGTTCATAGGGTGGCTATGAATCTTCTTCAACTCAGTGGCACCTAATCACAACACCACTCATGGATATAGGGAGTGCTTATGGCTTAGTGGTAAGGAGTTGCATTACTAACCCAAAGACACACCGTTCCAGTCTATCAGTTGGTTTTTGTTTTGTTTTTATTATTATTATTATTAATTTTAATAGACATTTACAGAAGTTTT